ATTTCCTGGCTTCCAGACATAATATGGGCAGTCGGAATTGATCCTCTAAATGCAAAGGCAATGCCCCTTCAGCTAATCATTTGTTGTTGTCTCCCTTCAGAAAGATGCCTGGTACATTTTAATGACTTGAGATCCAACTAATGCTCAGAAATGTGCACCCAGAAACTGTTTTGTGTAAAGTGGTAATCAAAAGTATTTTCAAGAAGGAGAATGGCTCAAGTAATTAGTGAAAAGCAGTCGAAATTCCTTGCAAACTTCTGTCATACTCTTTTTGGATGATCCACCTACTTTGAAAGATTTCATAAGAGAAAAATAAATGGTGTGTGTGTCTCCTGGGACAGCTGTGCGAACAACAGGGCTAGAGCGCACTAATGCATTTCTGTTTTCATGCACTGTCTTTCTCAGCAGCGGAGGTAAATTTCTCAGTACATTGGCTTCTACTCTTGAGTGGAGGGCGGCAAGCAATCTTTTCTTGTAGTCTGCTCTTTCCTAATGGTATGCTTGCCCAGTAATAAGGCAGGTAGATTTATCCGGTTGTTACCTGTGGAGAATTTTTTTTCCCTACCTCATTCACTAGTGAGTCTTTTAACATAGTAGAAATAGCTCCTTTTTTGGGGGACGGGGGTGTTAAAGATATTAAATGGATTTATCTATTTAACACTTAAGTGCCATTATTTATTTTAAAATCAAAATATCCTTTTTTTTTCTTTAATAAGTTAAATCATTTTCTTTATTCTGTATGAGAGGAACTTACCCATTAACCTTTAAATTTTCAGAGGCTTGGACCTGAACTAAGATACTATTAAAAAAGAAAAACACCATAAAAGTCAGATCCCAGTATTTTGCAAGAATTTTCATAATTAAACGTTCACGTTTCTTTTCCAGTATTCCCATTTCTACTTGGAATTTTTTTTTTTGAATCCTCACCCACAGATATGCTCTTATTGATGAGAGAGAGAGAGAGAGAGAGAGAGAGAGAGAGAGAGAGAGAGAGAAATATGGATTGGTTGCCTCCCATACCCCCCCCCCGACCAGGGATTGAACCCACAACCTAGGTATGTGCCCTGACTGGGAATCAAACCCACAACCTTCTTGGTGTATGGGATGAAGCTCCAAACAACTGAGCCACCAGGCCAGGGCTCTACTTGTAATTTTTATATCTTCCTCAAAATATATTGTCTGAAGAGGCTTATAAGACTATTTTTTTTCAGTGTGCCTTTCATTAACCCTATTTATAAATTTACTTTCTTACTTTAGAGCTTACTTTAGAGACTCTTTTTAGTCATCTGTATAGTGGCAAAATTTGTTTGCTAGCTGATGTATTGATAGGATACAAGGCTATTTAACAACAAATATTTTTGCAGACAGTAATTAAGAATTATTGCCTTGATGGAAGCTGTTAATATTTATCATACAAATGTAAAAGTTATTTGTATGATAAATATTAGTCATATAAATTGTTACCTAGTGATACATGATCTCTAAAAGCTATGTGATTGTGTAATTGTAGAATGTAGTAGTTTCCTTCCTTATATCTACCTCTGAATGTTGTAGTCCAGTCACCCCTAAAGTCTCTCACTAAGATATTACTTTAATATCTTAGTTTATATAATATTATAATGGGCTCTGAGGCATCGATTTCTTAGTTACAGAATCTAAAGTCTTATTTTTTGCTTCTCTGAAAATACAGAGTTTTGAGCTGATAGAAGCTACTAATGCTCTCCATTCAGAAACTATATAGGGAATTAGCTGCTGTCCTTGGTGTTGAAATTATGTTGTGTGATTTCATAAGGAAAGGAATTAGTTAAAAAAGCAGAATAATCTTGAATATACTATTTGTGGCTGCGGTTGATATCTTCCTAGATCTATTTGAACTAGAAACATGCAGACTCCAGTATCTTAATGTCTTGAGTTCCTGACTGCCAGGCAGAGGAAATGTTTAACTATTTTAATCATGTTTCTGTATCTCAGAAAGAAAGCCCTTATGAGAGGAAATGACAACGTCCTACCACAAAGTTATCTCTTATCAGTTATAGCCTCAGTCAATAATGATTTGTCAAACTTGGACATGTGTAAAATGCAAGGGCCGTGTTATTTACTTTGGAAAGGAAAAATTAGATGGAGCTGATAACAACAGAGTCATGGCTTTTGTTAGGAGACAGAAGCCATTAGAGACAGTCATTGTTAGCTTAGGAAAGTGTCCTTGGACCCCTCCCTTTGCCCCAGCTGAAACCTAACCCCGCTTGAATCATTCCTGCAACTTGAGGGAAGGGAGGGGCACAGGAGGGGAAGAAGAATGAAGACAGCTTTGACAGAGATTTAGCATTTTAAATGGGGAGCAAAAGGTGGCCCTTAAAACAGACCTGTTTATGTGAGTCAGAAAAACTGCCTTTTGTTCTCTTCTCCACCCCCATTTATTTAGATTTTTGAAAGTTCATTTCTTATCCTTCCAAACATGTAGCATTCCTTCACGTACAGTGCAGGTTGCTCTCTTCCTCTCGCCTTCCCCGAGATGTGATTCTTTTTCATTAGTGAAAGTAGGGAAAACACCTCTCGCTCAAAGCAACATGAGTCAGTGCATGCTTTACATACCTTTCTCCTGCACTCTGCTTGGTTCTTCACATAAGGAAACAAAATGATTTCTACATAGTAGGCTATTTTGAAGGTAGAGGTAAAGTTTGTGAACCCCATTTTGCTCCATCTTTTCTTGTCTAAATTTTTGTCTAGATCTTTTCTTGTCTGGATTTCAAAGCAGGCAGTCATGTGCGTAGGAGGTCTTAACTGGATTATGGTTTCAGAGCTAAGAATTAGCCAATATTTCCAGGTCAGGACACTTAGCAGTTTGAAGTTGAGTGTGATGATGTCAAGACAGCCTCACAGAAAATGGTTTTGGTTGTAAAAATTTGCTGGAGATGACAGGAAAGACCTTTGTCTTCTCTGTGTATGTCCCAGGTAAACCAGTCTTATTAGCTCATTAGTTAGTAAGGGGCCCCATTAGCTTATTCATCACAGATTTGTAGAGAAACTGTCTCCTAATGTGGATATCCTATATAATAATCCTATATAATAAGAGGCTAATATGCAAATAGACCGAACAGGGGAACAACTGAAAAACTGAACAACCGGTCGCTATGATGTGCGCGGACCACCAGGGGAATATGGTGGGTGTCGGCTGCGGCGGGATGGTGGAAGTGAGCAGGGGCACCAGACCAAGGTGGGGCGCCGGTAGCTGTCATCGGGTCGAGCCTCTGGTGGTTACTGAAAATTCTCTGCTCCTGCGCGCTGCAGTCCTGCCCGGCACTTGCACCTGTTGCTGGCACTGGCCCCAATCGCTTTGCGCTGTCAGCGCGTGGGAACAGTGACAGCGGGAGCTGGGCTGCTGGCAGACAGGGGACCGGGGGCCACAGTGGGAGGGGCCAGAGGGGGGCATGGACGATGGGCCGAGACCCGCTCCTGTGCCCACCACAGCCTTGTGACCCACAGTTCCTTTCAAGGCGTATGAATTCATGCACTGGGCCCCTAGTTTATTCTATAAAGATGGGTCCTACATGTGAAAGGGCCAAGGCTCTGTCTGAAGAATGCTTGAAGCAGTTTCCTTTTGAATAAAACTATAGGTCTGAGGCAAAGCAAAACAAAAGGAATAAATTGCACAAAGAACATATAAACAAAGTTGTGATTGAATTTTTTATTCAAAATTAGGTAAGGAAATATCCTTAACTTTTTGTAAATCTGTAATAATAAAAGAGTAATATGCTAATTAGACCAGACATCCTTCCAGACAACCTTCCGGACAAAGCCGGGGCTGCAGTTGCGGGATCGAGGCTGCTGCTGCAGCTGTGAAGGCCTACTCTTGCACTAATTTCATGCATCAGGCCTCTAGTATATTTATAATAAATAATTTTGTAATCATTTATTCTAAATCATTTCCTATACAGATCAAGTTTTTTTTTTTAATGTTTGTTGTCTTTTTTTTTCACATGCATGTTTAATTTTTATGTAGTGTAAATACTATTATAAATTTGATTTTATCAAGTTTTTCTAGTTTTCTTTTTTTTGAGATTGTGTTTTGCTTAGCTGTAGTTTTCACTGGTAGGGTCTGGTTTTCTGGAAAGACACATTTCCTTCAGATCTCCACTTTTCAGTCAAAGATGCTTTAATGTGGTCATTTCTAGTAAGAGTGCCCCGATGGTCACTTGTTGCTTCATTTTGTGTTAAGATGTGCTTTTGAATCTTACTTTTTCTTTAACTACATGTCCCCATGTGTCTGTAAATTTTTTTCTCAGTAATGCTGCTTGGGCCATGGTGTAGGATCTGGAGCACCTTACTAGCAATCTTTGAATTCATATAAAAGTTTGTTTGAGTGCTTACAGAGTACACAGCACTATGAGATTCTTAAACATGGAGATGTAATCTCTGCCTTCATGGATGCAAGCAAATGAACAAAATTGTCAATAAATTTGAACCAATAAACATAGAAGTGCTTATATTCTGATCAATCATACATTTACCAGTGTTACAGTAAAAACTTCAGCTAGGTCTTTAAAAAAATATTTCTTATGTTATTTTGTCTTTTATGCTTTATTTTGTTTTGTTAAATATTTACTTTCATAGTCTCCTTTTATTCTTACTAAATTTCTATGAGTCAACTGATAGTTTCTTTTTTAGTTGAAGAAATTAAGGCCAAAGTAAATTGTGATTTACTTTTGTCAGGTCACATAACAAATCAGTTTTAGCACTGCGACTCTACTCCAGTTCTTACCTGATGTTTTCTGTTTTACTTTCTCTTTTGATGTATAGGCTTAATCTCTAGGCGTTGTTCATTTGCTGGTATTACTTCTAGGTTTGGCTTTTCCATTCTTCATCTTATTTTGTATATGATCGCCCCTCTCTTCTTCCTAGCATATTTCCGTATCTTTTCCTTACAGTGAGTAGTAAAAATGAATGCAGTTGTTATTAATAGCTTTGTTTGAATATTTTGTGACAATCTGATTGTTTTGCAGGTACCTGGGACCCAAGATTTGGTGGATTTCTCTCCTGTTTATCGATGTCTACACATATATTCTGTCCTGGTGAGTCTTTATCTGGCTTTGCCTAATAAAGATATATATTGAATTCAAACTCTGCTTTCTCATTTTTGATATTTTTCTGTTTATTAAGAGTAAGGACAGAAAACTATTACTTAAGGAGTATTAATTATAAAAAATCTTTTTTTCTTGGATCTTTTATGGTTGCCATATAATATGCCTTAGCTAGTAACATTAATTTCTATGTCAACCTGTTTGTAGATTATACCTAAAAATAGTTACATATTCAGATTTCAGTTCTTAATTTAATAATGTAGTTATTTAGATAACAATAGCCTATATTTACATCTTACATTAGTATATGTAAAAACTTTTTTATTCCTGATGACAGTTTTTCCTTTTGTCATACAAAGCATATGGAAAGGGGGGAAATTTTATAGGTGTGAATGGTATTCTAATAAATGATTTAGAATTTATCTCCATCTGTACACCTATGTGCAGACACACAGATATATACAAAGTCAGTAAAAAAAATTAAACTATGAAGTTAAAGTATCATGAAAGACAAATTGATGAGAGAAGCCCATTATTGATAATTTATATAGCAAAGTTCAGTGAAACTTCTATCAGGTTGTTTTTAATATCATTTTAAGCGAAATAAGTTTGAGTGTATCTTATTGCCCGGTCCAGTCTGTTATTCATTTTCTTTCTTCATGTATTTAACGTATTGTCACTAGGCCATTACTGCAGATAGTTTGGGACTGCTCTGTGGATTTAAAAAATATGTATTTATTTTTATTGATTTCAGAGAGGAAGGGAGAGGGAGAGACAGTTAGAAACATTATTGATGACAGAGAATCATTGACTGGCTGCCTCCTGCATGCCCCCAACTGGGTATCGAGCCTGCAGCCTGGGCATGTGTCCTTGACCAGAATTGAACCCAAGACCCTTCAGTCCGCAGTCCGACGCTCTATCCACTGAGCAAATCATTTAGGGCTGGTCTGTGGATTTTATGGCCTGCAGTATTTGGTGGTGATCTCCATTAGTTTGAGAAAAGAGCTGGTAACGTCCTCTCTTCTATTCTCCTTTCTTTTAGTTCTCCTTGCTGTTCAGCTCCCTCTTCCCCTGTCTATTCTCCTTTTCCACTCTTTTTCTCTATCATTTCTTGTTATATAAAGATGAAGCAGGATATAGATTGAGATGTATCAAGGCTTTAAAATAAGTAGACAGTTTTTTTCATTCTCATGTACAGAGAATTACAGAAATCATATATATCTTACTTGGCGACACAATATTATCATTTCATACAAAGCCACCTTTTGTATTTTATTTTATCATGTTTTTTCCATTTGTCTCTTATCCATAAGCCCACTTGTCTCCCATCCCTAACTAACTCTAATATGTTTAACATATGGTCATGATTGTGTCCTTGAAAATTTGTGATTTTTTTTATGTATAGGTGTTTTTAACTTTCTCAAATGGTGTTGTCTTATGGATTGAGTTTTACTTCTTGTAGTTTTTTTTTTGAATTCAGCACTATTCCTAATATCTATTCTTGTTATTGTCTGTATATCTAACTCATTGCCTCCCACTTCTGCTTGATAGTTAACTGATGGTTTGTATTTGCTGTTGTTATTATCTATTATGTTAATGATCAAAACTTAAATTTGCCTCTAACATTTTCCTGTAACAAATAGTATACCCTTATGGACTAGTGTGTAAATTTCTATGGTTTCTTTACCTAGGAATGAAATTTCTGGGTCATAAGGAATATGTAAAATACTTAATTTCACTAATTTTTAAATTTTGTTAACCTGATGGATATTGAATGACAGCTCTTTGTTATAACTTGCATTTCTCTGATTACTAGTAACATTGTGCTTCTCATTTTAGACTTACTAATCATTTAAGGTTTGTCTTCTCTAAACTGCCTATCTTTAACCTTTGTTCAATTTTGTATTGCATTTTTTTCTAGTAAAACACCTAGAAAATAAATATAATTTTTTCCCTCTGAAATGGCTAGCCTGTTATATATAAAGTAGGTGAAAAGGGTTTTTTTGTTTTGTTTCTGTATCTCAGTGATTTTTTAAAAATTACATTTGAGATGACATTGATTAATAAGATTATATAGGTCTCAAGTGTGCATTCTATGATACATCATCTGTATGTTGCATTGTGTGCCTACCACCCAAAGTCAAATCTTCTTTGGTCACCATGTATTTGATCCCTTTTACCATTTACTATCTCCCTAACCTGCTTCCCTCTGGTAACCATCATACTGTTATCTGTGTCTATGAGTTTTTGTTTATTTTTTTTCTTTATTCATTTGCTGCTTTCAGTTTTATATCCCAGATGAGTGAAATCATATGGTTCTTAACTTTTTTGGTCTGACTTATTTTGCTTAGAATGATATTCTCAAGATTTCTTATTTTAGTTTTCTCTTTTTGCTGGGAAGAGAAATTTCAGAAATTTCTTATATATGGTAGATATTAACAGTTTAGGTTACTGTGAATGTTTTTTTCCAGTTTGGCACCATACGCTAAACTATGTCTATATTATTTTTTATGAAACAGAAATTATTGATTTTGATATAATCAAGTCCATGAATTGTAACCTTTCATGTAGTTTGTTTTGTATTTCTTGTTTTTTTTAATCCCTTTATATTCTGACGTCATAGAGCATTCCCTTACATTATCTTTAACATTTTACCATTCACATTTCAATTTTGATCTAGCTTGGGTTCATCATTTTATATACTATGAAGTATAGATCGAACTTAATTTTTTTCTATATGATGAATTCAGGTTTACCAATCTCATCTACTACATTATTTGTACATCTCCAGTGATTCCTGGTAGTACCTCTGCAATACCCTAATATGCATATTTATATGAATCTATTTTTCAGCTCTATAGTTTGTTACATTTGGTTTTTTAACATATCTACATAAAAGGTAAAAGAAGTCCCTTCTCATTTCTTCTCTTTTAAATTGCTTTCACTATTATCAACCTCTACTTTTAAATATATATTTTAGAATCAGTTTGAGTTAATAAAAAAGTACTTCTAGGATTTTGATTTGAATTGATTGCATTTATAGATAAATTTGGGGTCGAATTGGTACTTTTATAATGCTGAGTCATCTCATTCATGAAAGAATAAGATCTTTTAAATTATTTAATTGAGCTTTTTCTATGTCTAGTAACATAGAATGCTTGGGCATTCTTTGTTAGGGTAATAGTAAAATACTTGTAATTTTTGTTACTGTTTTCTACTTTATTTCTAATTAGTTATTGCTGATATTGAAGAATGCTTGATTTTTGTATGTTAACCTTACACCTGGCAACTTGGCTCAACTCTTTTATTACAGTTTGTTTTTTAGTTTATGATAGCTTACTATATAGTTGATCATAATGTCTGTAGATATTGATTTTGTTTCTTTTATTTCTGTTTGTATATCTCATTGCTCTTTTTATTGTCTTATTGTATTCACCAGGATCATTATTACCTTGTTGTTTAGGAAGGTGATATTGTGCATCCTGGTCTGATTTCTTATCTCAAAGAGAATGTATCTGTAGTTTTTCTCTTAACTGATGTTTACAGTAGGTTTTTGGTAAAGATTCATCTAGTTATTCCTAGACTCCTGAATTTTTAAAAATAAAAACATAAATGAATGTCACATTTTATTGAATTTGTATGCTAGATATATTGATATAATTCTGAGGTTTTTATCCTTTAGTTTATAAATATGATGAATTTCATTGATAGGTTTTTCTGATATTAAACCGTCCTTGTATTCTTTAGATAAATCCACCTTGATGAGGATGTATTACTGCTTTTTTAACATCCTGTGGAATTTAAGTCTTATTTGTTTATTCATTTATTTTTTTATTTTTACTCTTTATTTTTGGTATTTATATGTATGGTTATAAGTAACACAGGCCTATACTTTTCTTTCTCTTTTTGGTATTGTCCTTATATGGTTTGTAAGTCAGTGTTATACTAGTCTCATTAAAATGATTGAACATTCTTTCCTTTTCTCTATTTTATGAAATTATTTATATAAGATAGGAGTTATCTATTCCTTGAAAATTGAGTAGAAATCCCATGTGCAGTCATATGCATTTTTTTCTTTGCCATACAACTTTCTTTTTCCTCCCTATCATCCTGATTCCATTTTCCATGATTTTATTTAGTCTCTTCATTAGCATGTATGGTTATAGGAGTTCACAGTTGTTTTTAACCCAAATGTCATTAGAATAAGAACCATATTCACGCATATCAAGTTTTAAGGTTTATGTTAGGCCTCATAATAGCAAAAATGATTTTTTCCTCTTAAATAGTGTGAAGTCTATGAAAATGGATAGTTTGTTTAGTTTAATGTTATATTCTTAGTACAAACAACAGTCCTTGACATATGGTAGTTCCTTACTATTAGTTGAATGAATAAATAGAAAAGTGGTAGCTGAAGAATGCAGTACATTTGTTTGAACATATGCAAACTCTGACCTTATTATTCATTTACTTATTTACTCAATAAACACTGATTTTCTCTTCTGCATGAAATGGGTTTGGAGAAGCAAGGATGAATGAATAAGTCAAGAACTTCTGCTTTAAAAGGAAATTACAATCTATCATGGCAGAAGTTACAATTTTTGAATGACTATAATATGACAGCACTATATCTCATTACTGTGTGCATGCTAGTTTTTGTCAAATTTTATGATATGGAAATTTTAACAAATTTTCCTCAAGTGAGAGCTCTAATAGTGATTCATAAGAGTACTGAAGTAATTTATTTGCGCAATTAAACCTTAGCTTTTCACATGGGGAATGTGATAATAATTACCTGCTTAGTGCAGTTATAGGTATTGTATGAACAGTGCCTGTACCAGTCTGTGGCACATAATTAGCATTTAATAGAGGACAGTTGAGCTAGCAAAAGTTATTTATTTCTGATGCTGATTATTATACACATAATTAGTATTTTAAAAAGTATTTGACAAAGTATAGACATGTAAATAGCAGTTCTAATCTCTGCCATCAAC